ACTGGCTGTGAACTGTAATAGAAGGTGCCAGTTTTCCTCAGTTGTTTTTAAATACAGTTTTAAGTGGTTAGGTTTAAATTCCATACAGTTTAGGTAGCCAAGAGGGAAGATTTAAAGCCGAGTATAATCCCTTGCAGATTTGTTTAAAATTCTCAAAATTGTGATTTTGTTAGCAAAATTCTTTTCATTTGAAAAAAAAAATACAGATTATTTCTCATATTACAATCCTGTCATTTGTATCATACTAATGCAGAGTAGCTTCTCATTTAATTTCTTTTGGGGACAATCCATCAAGCAGGGGCCCAAAGAATTTCAGTTATAATTGCTGAGGTGTATTTATTGATGTTCTATACTGATACTAGATTGTGTGCAACATCACTTTGTTTTATATTCACGAACAAAATACTCAGCCTTTTATACCATAGCACGTGCACTAAGAGTAATAAAATACAAACTCATACATTACTTACATGTGGAATTTTCTCTCTGCCCACTTCCATTAGCTCATGGCAGGTTATTTTCCCCAATCTGAAATTACCAAGTCCCCTCCTATGCTCACACAGCTCCATTTATACATCGCACCAGATGACCACAGATAAGATACACAACATCCATGGAGACAATATGTCTGCTATTCTATCCTTTGTCCCTGGCTTCCATTTGTGTTCAACTTTTGTTGGGGGAGTATTTTACATGAGAAGCTGGCTTGCTGCAAAGCACCCTGTATCATTTTGAGTTACAAGACTCCTTCTGGGCCCCTCACAGACATTACTGGGGAAAAAAAATATCTGTTGGTGACAATAGCTGAGTGCTTGGTTAGAAAATATGCTTCCATGCACAGAAAAAAAAGACAGGATAGGAAAGAATAGGAGCATGCACAAAACTGCTGTAACCTTGAAGCAAACTATGGGATTTCAGAAATTCTGACAAAGAGTTTTGGATTTTCCATGGGCTGCTGAAACTACCAACCAACCCTTCTCCCCGTTCTAGCTTGGTTGCTCCAGGTTTAGGACAACACAAAGTTTGGAAAGCTTCTGAAGCAGTTTATGGGCTGAGAAAAGCAAGGCAATCTAGAAGAGCCTCCTAGAGTGACATTTTTTATTGGCCGCCGGTCTTCCAATCTTCTCTTTTCCTCTCCTCTCTTTCCCTTAGCAGTGTCAAGGGCCACTGTCCCAAAGAAAGTCCCTCGGCCTCATTTTCCCCCCACTTTTCCCACTCTTGCTTGGAAACAATGATATCTCTACTGGACACGTCTACTTATTCCATCACATTTGATTCTACAAACATCTGAAACAAGTGTTTCAGTTTGGTCAGGGACCACCAAATCCAGCTGCACTGCACATAGAATGGTTTATGTATGGACAACTGCATCAGGAGTCGTATTAAAAAGCAATCTCATCTGCTTACTTTCTGTTCAATGGCTGTGTTCATGTCTCTGTGTTTTTTGATTAGCCTCAACTCTGATAGCAGCCACTTTATGACAGTACAAGGACTGGGCCAATGAAGTTGTTTCAGTAATTTTTGCCGATGATAACTTTCTTCATTTGTGACCCTCCAGATGAAATGAGTACAGTTCACAGAATATGGCAAATTACTAGTTCCATTTTTCTCAAAATCACCAAGCAGATTCATCAAAAGCATTATTTCAAGTCATCAATACTTACTTGTACACAAAACTACATGGTTCTGCTTCCCTTCACATAAACCATCATGAAAAAAGTAATTATTTCAGTATTAAGTAATAAATCTTCAAAAATGTGAGAGTTCCTTTCCTAGATAGGTAATCCCTNAATTCATATTAAAAACATTAAAAAAATGAAAGACTAGAAATTAACATATCAAAAGAATTTTATTAGGATTTTAGTACAACAATTTCTTCCCATTAGATTTGCAAAGATGAAAAAGGAAGAAATACTTTTAAAAAGTTTAAAAATAAAGATAACAGAAATGCCTTTATGAAGTTGGCTCCTTAAAATTGATATTGGGACCTTAAGATTACCAGGAAAACCACTGCAATTTCATAAAATGCTTGTAGCTCTTCACAAATATCTATTCCCATTATTTATTCTTACTAAGCCCACTATAATCACTAATTTGAAAATTGATTTGTGGTTTAAATTCAGCATTCAAATTTTGGAAGTAAAAGTTTTAATTCTACTGTATTTACTTTCCAGCACATTGCATCCCATCTAAGGTAAGCAAATGTGTAAATGTTGTTATTTATTTTAGAAGACTGGCCAACTCCAGGAGCCAACATTAAAAATGTGTTGGTTTAAACCGGCTCTTATAACAACAACTGATATTTTAAATTCTCTATATTTGATAAAACTACTAAGCTAGAAAATGAACTTCTTGAATACTGTATATCATATCCAAAATGCTTAATTCCTTATCAATAATTAAAGATATTGTGATGACTTATCTTACCACTGGGCCCTGAATTTACTAAAAATAAATAAATCACTGATTAAACTGCAAGGTAATAATTTCATAAAGCCATTATATTTTAATATGTGTGATCCATTAATGTACATTTTTCTGCATAGTCACAAATAACAATGGATGGAAAGTTGTTTTTCTTGTAGCACCTTATCTTTTTTTAATAGTCCATGAATGTTGGCACACGTTATAGTAAACTCTGCATACCTGATGAGCTTTCTAGAAAATCTGCTCATTGCAGCTTTATTAAGTAGACAAATGGCTCACCTTAATTTTTTGTATGATGTTTTCTCCAATACATTAGTTTAGCAGTACATTGTTAGATAAGTTATAATTGGAAACAAAAAAAAAAAAACTTCGCTGAATAATAAGCAAAGAAAGCATAACACAGTCCACAACATCTTTTGTGAGAAAAGGTGCATCAGAATAGTGGTTCCTACGTCTGCGGGAAAAAAGGCTTGTGCTGTGACTGATTTCTGAGATTAAAGGAAAAATGGAGGTGGAAAACAAAACTTAAAAAGTGTTATGTTCCTAGCTATGTANTTTAAATCAGATCATCTACTTCAGGAACATGAAAGAAAAATACAATTGAAATTGGCTATTTCTACATCATTAGAAATAAATAACATAAGTAGTATTGCATTTCAATGCATACACATTCTAATTCTATGAGTAACACTATGGTAAAGAGGTTTACCTTTACTAAACACATATTTTGTATTTTCTACATACACATTTTGCATATTCTTAACAATATTTTATGTAAAGCAGCGCATTCTGTACCTACCACTGATCTATGCATGGGAAGGATATTTTGGACTACAATTCCTATTAATTAAGGCCTCTGTGACCAATTGCTTTTTAGAGGAATATATTGGTTAGAGAGCTGATAAATCACAAGCATTATAAGCTCAATGTATTTGAACCAAGGTGCCTTTTAGATGAATCCTCAAATATAGGAGTCCCATTCTGCTTCAGGTCCAGCTGCATAGGACTCACTCAACGGGAAGTGGCTCCCATCTGACTAAAGGATGTGCCTAAAGTCTCCCAGTAGCACTTAAAAGTATGTTTCTTCTTCCCTTTACATCTCCTGCACACATCTGCAGAGATGGCTCTGTGCCTAACCAATTGGCAGAAGTCCAGTGAGCCCCAGGAACTAAGGGAAGCCCTCCAATTTTAAGTAGGAGAGAGCTATAGGTTAGATAACAAATTATTGTTCTTAACAGAATATATATTTAATTCATACTGTTGCTGTGAGTATTAGGTAATGTGCTGTAACACATTACTTTTATGAACTGTATTGCCCGAAAAACTATTTATCTACATGATGATATATTTAAAAAGTCAATAGATTTTAAAACGGTGCTGTTTTACAAGACTAGGTCATTACTGTAAGACAAACTTCAGGGCAATGTTTACCTAGATAGAAACATGACCTGTTTTTAGAAAGAAAAGATAGCGAACAAAATATTTATATTTTAAAATAATCAAGACCAAGAAAATAAACTACGTTTGACATTACCTTTGTATTAATAAGCAAATGTGTATGTTTTAAGAAAGGAGGATGATTAAGGCATAGTAAGACTGAACTTTGTTCACAAGAAAATATATCTACATATCAGTGTATTTTAAAATATACATACATGTATTCATGTGTACATGGACAAACACATGAATTATATATTGAAACTAACAGAATAATCCTACCTCAGTAAATTTTTCAAATGGTAAGACTATCTATTTATTACATTTCAGAAAACTATGCTTGGAGATAAAGAATGAAGTCATGTGCAAAAATATGCACATTGTTAAAAGCTTCCTAAATACCCACATTGGCATTCAGCTTCTGTTAAAATGTTCTCCCTAAAAAAAAAAAGAACTAAACTAGTTGATACTGGTACTCATTGCCAAACCTTTGAGGGGGAGATGCATGGAGAATAACGTTAAGTAGGTTAGGCTAATCAGACACATGGACAAAGTTACTTCCTGATTCAGCAAAGGTGATGAGATCATTCTCACTTCTGCCAATACTTTTAACTCATGTTGAGGGACACAAGTTTTGCAGCTTCCACAAGTGGGACATTTCTATTGTGAGAATGGAAAGAAAGGGACCTGGAAAACCAATGAAACATTTTCAAGTTCTGCATGATCTTCCATCCAAGTACTCAACTTGGGAGATGATCATGGATAGCTTTCAAAAATAGTTAAAGTTGGCTGGTTTTTTTTTTTTTTTGATGATCACATATAATTCTTAGTTGTGATTATAGGCTTATTTAGAAAAAACAAATTNGAAAGTCAGCTGTGGGTCCAGGAGGACTCCCAAGTTGCGAACCCTCTCTGAGGGGTGTAAAATTTGACCCCCCAGCCTGAGCGATGGAACACTGGTCGAATTGTTGGGAGGAAAACACAACAGCCACTTGGTCTGTTGCTCTAGAATGACTCTTTTTTCCTACTTGAATGAATCTCAAAGAATAACGATCGAAGTAAATAGGCTAGAAACACTCAGAACAGATAAAATAAGCTGAGTATTTGTCTAAATTATTCAGACACCATTTCAAACATAGAGAAAATGGTGATTACTGGCTTGCAGAACAATTATATACCTGTGACCTTGACATAGGTAGATTAATGCTGACAGTGTTAGAGCCCATCATGGAGAAATTCATGCTTTGAGAAGAGGTCATTGTGGCTTGGGAGGCACCCATCAAATCAAACACGTCAGCAGAATTTGCAGCAGCTGGAGACTGACCAAGACCCTGCTGACCAGAGCTGCCAAAGAGCTCAGCAGCTGGCTGAGCAGAGCTACTGAGGAGCTCTCCAGCTGGAGCAGCTGGGCCTGGAGCAACTTGGTTGAAGGCACTCCAGTCACCAAATTCTCCATTCCCACTTGTAATTGTACCTGGAGAGGGAAAAGAAAAGAAACCTTTTGTAAGTCAAATAAAGGTCCCATTATATGAACTGATACAAATGGGAATTGACAGTTTTCCACCCAGATTAACATCTGCAGGTAGAATCTCCATTTGGGCCCTGGTCTCCCTCATGAATATTCTAACCACTTGAAAATGGTAACAAGAAAATGAGGCATTTGCTCACCAATGGCAAAAAGTATGTCTTGGAAGGGTGACACCTGTTGACAGTTTATCAGTAGGATGCAAATTCCTGGACAGTATAACATCTAACACACAAGCACATGATGGATAGAGGAGGTGTCAGAGGTTCAGTATTTAAATTGTTAGTACTGAAAAATGGGGAGCCTTAGGTAAAACAGGAAACACTGACTTAGGCTGACGCTTTGAATCAATCACAATAAACAAGAATGGTCTCACGGTCGTAAGTAATAAAAACAGCAATTTGTTCAAACTCATCCGATTACATATAAATTATTTACGGTACAAAGAGTTATTAAATCAGTATAGCTAAGTGGGATACCAATAAAATAATGGCTTTCAAATTCAACTGCCTCTGGGTGTTTATCTCACCTCTGTTGTGCTGGTTGACAGCATTATATAGTATTTATTTAGCACTCTGCGGGTGCTTTGATAAATATGCATTTAAAGCTCTCACACACATTCAAATCTTTCCACGGAAAATACTGACTAGCTCTCTATTTAACTCTGTTCTTATTAAAGAGGAATCTATTTCCATATTTTACAAAAGTACATATTTAACTTGAATAAATGTACAAATAATCCTAGACATATGACCACAATTGGCTAGGAATCTCGGTCAATAAGAGATGTTAAGTGAGTTATCATGTGACTGTACCTGATTTTTACAGCTGTTTTTGCCACAGTTGTTAAACAAATCACTTGGTCACATGAATCACACAGTTGTTCGGTGAATCTAGCTTCCCCAATTGACTTTGCTTCTAAGAAGCCAGCTGAAAAGCTTGCAAATCAAGATTACGTGGCTACAAGATGTTGCAACTTTCACAAACAGGATTCGTTTGCCAAATATCCAAATTGCTATTACGTGACTATGTGGGTGATGCAATGATTGTATTTTTAAGGAGGGGTCTTAAGCCACTTTTTCTATGGCCATTGTAACTTCAAATCAGTGTTAAACAAATGGTCATAAGTGGAGTATTACCTGCATAAGCAAACCTTTTGATGAAACTGTATGGATGAAAGCAAAGCTTTTGTGAAGTAGATTTTGATGATAAATTTCACTCATTAGCCACTGATGAATATTATAACTTTTAGTCGCATATAATGTAATGAAATTTTGATTAATAAATGATTAACCAATCATTTTTGTCCCATACTTCAACAAAGAAGGTAATGGACAGCAATGTTGCTTATTATACAGATTTACACCTTGCAACTAACATTTTATATTTAATGTCAGGCAGGGCTAAAAGTGAATAATTCAGGACTTTTTTCATGAATTTATGGGATGAGTTTTTTGAAATGAGCAATGAAAGACTGGGGAAATATAAGGTCACAGAAACGAGACCCTTCTGACTACAGAATAATCCAACCTGTAGTGATAATAAGGAATTAGTGATCGACAAACTTGCAGATTATCTAGAATCTAATGTGCTTAATTATAAAGTTGTTGCAATAATTTATATCTCACTTCAGTAACTCTTAATATTACCTGTGCACCTGGGTATAAAAGCCTTTATTTTAATTAATTTCACTTCCAACGGTGGATTAAAATTTAAGTTAGCAAGGACGGGGAGGGAAAAAAAGATCCACACCTCTCTGCACAATGATGCACTTTAAAGCTGCAAGTAGCAGGTTGAAATTCATTAGCTTGGGGCTATGATGAAACATTTGCTTTGATCTCCCTTAGAAAAAGGACTTTATTGGGAGTGTTTCAATTAGTCTTGCCTATTAAAAATGTAAGCACATTTAAAGTATTCCTGATGGGTAAGTAACTGCTGAATGTGTTGATTCTCCTAGTTACTAGATGCTCATATTCCAAATACACATACAAAGGAGATGGGGAAATAGGTGTCTGTTGCCATTCTTTGGGGAACTTTACACCAAAGATGATGAATCAACCAAGATTGCTAGAGGGGCTTTGTTGTTTGAGAAAGATAAATCATAATTGCCTGTTTGCATAATGGTGATCAGTACAGATTAATCACAGTAATAGTGATAAAGGAATATTATTAAGTTATACTATGATATTTGCATAACAGGATTCAGCTATCCAAAACAACAGTTTTAATAACTGTGAAGATTTAGGTGGAAAAGTGCATGTTAAAGTATTTAAAGGCACAGTTCTTAGATCAATCCAGATCTTATTTTCTCATAAAATGTACTTTTGGTGATGAGTTAAAAAAAAAGGACATGCTTTAATTTAATCCATCCCATGGCCTTTCTTGGGAAAGTCTACATTCTGGATTCCAGCACATCAAGAAATCTATTCATCGTATTTTTGGGGTGGTTGGGCCACAGACATGGGAGGGACAATCAAAAGTCGTGCAGACCTGCTTCATTTCAAGTGGATGAAAGCTGCCTTGGGATCATAGTTAACTTGGTCTTTTTTGAAAACCACTTTTAATCGGGCTTAGCTCCTAACCTGTGACATGTTTTAATTTAAAAAGGGCATGGAAATTTCCAGCCTTAACAGAGACAGTATACCCACTATTGAAAAGGCCATCCTCAGACCCAGTGGTTTAAATAACTACTGTCCCACCTCCCTTCTCTTTTGAAGAAAAGCTTTTGAGAAAGTGGTTGGACTAAAGCTTTTTGTTTCATGCGTATATGAAACTACTGGGTGAGATAATCTATTTCACCCAGCAGTTTGGGATCTGATATTAGGAATAAGACATTTCAGGCCTTTTCCCTTCCATTGGATAATTTTTATTTTACAAGAATCTTAAAGGAAAAAAAAAGTAATGAAAATAAGCAATTCTCTCTTTCTTTCTAGGACATGCAACTATTTTAGGATATCTTCCAACACCACAAGATACAGAACTATGGTTTATAGGTCTTTAAAAAGTTTTTGTGTAGATTACATAAGCACCATTATCATAGCAAACAGAATGGGAGTGTCCAAATAATGTCTACACATAAAAGTATTAATTAATTAGTCTTAGTCTCTGCTGCCTGACTCCAAATCAACTCTGGCCAGCTCACACAGTAAAAACAAAATATTAAATATACACTAGAAGTCATAAAATGAAACAAGATAGTAAATATGGTGCCCAACAATGAACATGCATTTTTTTTGGATCACACAGCCATTTGCTGAGACAATTCTGGATTCTTGGATATATACATCTAGTCTTCCAATAAGTAGGAATAAAATGGGATTACATAGTGATATCAAAGTCTATCGATTGCCATTGCCCAGTCAATGTCTTCAGATTATACATCAAAGACCACAGCAGAGTTCACATCATTTATTCAAGAGGGCTTTCTAAACATGCCATTCAACTTTTTTGAATGGCATGTTTTTTACCATAGTTTTTTTGTTATTGTCAACAAGTATAAAGTTTTTCTACACAAGCTTGCTTTAAAATCTATGAAGGCATTGGTAAATGATTATAAAATGTATTTATAAAGAAACCAAGGAGTTGCAGAACTAAAAGTACTGGATCTAGAACTATTGCAAATATCAGAGAAATACCGAGGTCACTTAAAATGTGTAAGATTTTTGAAAGCTTTCTAAAGCTGATATTTTTTTTCCATTTCTTTCAAGTACTAAAGAACAGAGCCAACATATAGATGAACCTGTTCCTAGTTAAGTCCTGGGATTCAGCAGTGAAGAACTCTGTGGCAATTTCAGATTAACGCACATGACCCAAAAACAATGATGGTATGTCATATTACCATGTGCCAACACTTCTAATATCACATCAAGACAAACAGAACCAATTATATTTTTATGCTATGGGAAGCCTTACAGTTCTTGATCTCCTTAAGAGAGAGAGAAAGGGAGGTATGGAACCTGCAACCTGCTAGAGAAACTGCACAAATCTCCACAAGCAATGGGGGGCAGGGGAGGAGGGAATACTTGAGGAATGAAATTGTTGATTAAGCACAATGGAAGCACAATAAATACCTTTGATATTTCCTAATTCTGAATGACTTGATCAACATAAAGATACTCAAAAGAGATCAGGAGGAAATTAATTTAAGTCTTGCCAACCTAGGTTTTCAACCTATCATAATCTTATGTTGTAAGAAGCAGAACTAATACACTGGGGCAAATATTCTATTAGAGGGAGGACAAAAATCATTTTTTCTCTGAATTGCCAACAGGTGGACCTAAAGCAGTAGTGGGAAAACATATGGCTCTCAAACCCCCTATTGTGGGCCTTGATGCTCTCTAAAAGATGCAGTTTTAACACCGAGTGGTAAACCGCCAAAAAGCAGAGATAGGGTTTCATGCAGATTTTCAGTAAAAAAAAACACCCAAAGAAAATAGTTTTTATAAGCCTCTGGAACGGTTTAACACATTTATAATGTATACCAAAATCAAACACAAAACCTCCTCTCATGAGTATGAATTATCATCCTGCCTACTACAGGCTTTGGTGATTGTACTAACTAAAAAAAACTGGATTCTTTCCTCACCAGCAGCATTTTTTAAAGCTCTCTGTTCAAACAAAAGGACTGGCTTTTGGTTCTAGTGTGATAGTGCTCAACAGTTTTGGAGCCTATTCTGTTCCCTTTCCTACCTTGCGATGGGGGACAGCTTGCGGAGGCAGCTGCAGGAGAGCTGAAGTCAGCAAAGCCTCCAAAGAGATCAGTGGAGCCACCTAAAACCAAAGGAATGAGAAGGCAGGTTACCATGAAGGCGTCTGGAAACGCTTCCTGTGGTATAGTTTACACAAACTTTTTATAAGAAAAACCAAAGAGAATGAAGAGGGATCCAGCATGCATGTCGCGATGGATACAGAAAAAGAAAGGTCGATACTAATGCTGATAATATATGAGAGAGAGAGAGAGAAAGAGAGAGAGAGAGAGAG